GAGATGCTGTCTCAAGAAAACTGACGAGTGCTTCCTGAGGTAATCCCCATGCTGACCGAGCTTCTGGATACTATCTCTTCCTTCAGAACTTGGGCGAGCCCAGGGTGGCCCTGTACCTCACGGCTGCTTTTGTCATTACAACACATTTACAACACGTGATGGACATTCAGTAGTCTTAGAAATCGGGTAAACCTGGGGAAGTCCCAGTTGAGACAGTCACTACATGTGTACCGAGCAAAGGAGTTTGTCGGGATTAGAGCAGCCTGGGCAACAGGCTATGTGGCATAGCTGCTTCTCGGGTGCATTCAAAACCCCAAGGCACTGATACTCTTACTACTATGTTAACTCAGTTTGTACGGACACAATCCCTGCCTAAACGATCACCACAATGAGCTGTCATCTCCTCTTTATTCTCACACTAATTGTGTGGCTAGCTGGATTCTGGTTCCCACATACCCCACAATCTCCTATCACTATGGTATAAACCACGTACTAAGACCACGGCTGCCATTCCCATAGCAGTAGTAAAATGAAACTTCCCAGCTTTTGCAATGTAATAAAGGACCAGTCTTATTTCTCCTCATCTGAACACAATAAGCACTCACAAACTCCATGGATTGTTTCAATTAAAGATCTACTCCCCAAACCTTTACCACAGTGTCTACTAGATACCAAGTGTAAAATTATGGTTAACACATAATTTTATTATGTTATTTTGAGTATTGAACAATCCCTAAATCAAGTTCAGGCTCCTTATATTCCTAGTTTCCCTGAGCCCTGTGCAACTTAGCAACCATGTCTAGTTTTCCTTAGGCTATTACTGTACTTAGTCTTACATCTTACTCCATTTTATGCATACTTATTTGCAGAACTTCCAGAACCCCCAACGGTCATTTATCTCAATTAAGCCATGCACCTGCACATTCAGGAGCACATAGCAATTCCAGGGCCCCGTAGATGACTCACAGAACGCAGAGAGGACCTAGAGTGATCTGAATGCATTCAAGCCACATAGTTATAAACCCTGCATTAGGGCCCACAACAAATTGACTCATTCTTTTTAAAACTTTCCATTTACTTTTTGAGATTACAGTTACATCATTTCCCCCTACTTTCCCTCCCTCCAATGCTTGTATTTCACTGTCCTTGCTTTTTTCCAAATTCATGGCTTTTAAAAATGTCATTGTTGGTGTGCAAATGTAATTGTACATAAATACATAATGCAACATGTTTTGTCCATGTTACATGTATGTTTGATCTCAGGACTGACAATTTGGTTTTGGATAACCAATTTGTATGCTCTTCTATGGGGAAGATGGTATTTCTCTAAGCCTCAGTAATCCCACGTTGTCTAGGGTTGTCTAGGGTTGTGGCCTCCTGAGCTTTCCCCTACCCAAATTAGCATGTCTATTGGTATTATCAAGAAGCTACATTTTATTTTAAGTTTGAATTACACAAAAGCTTTGGGATATTCTGTCAATCAATTCTTAATCATTGACCTCCACACTTTAAAAGTTCTGTACGTTTTTAACTGACTGAACTCAAAACCTGAAGTTCCTAAAGTCACTCTGAAAAATATCAAGAAGTGATACCCTCAATATATGTGGTTCTTTGATCAAGATTACAGTAAAATATCTGAATCAGTTTAGCATTTCCCCACAACTGCTTGAATTCTGCAAGCTAATGGGACATCCTTTAATCAATTTTATGCCTCTCTCTGAGAGGATGCTTGATCGGGAACATTGATCATATGGTGTCAAGTGGTCTTCCAAATCCAAGCTCTACTGACAAGGAAGAATTTGAAATTAAATGTAGAGTAGTTCACTTGTTCCTCCTGGAGGACATGTTTTTATAACTGTGTTTCTCGCGACTCAATTAGGTTATCAATCTAGGACTACAGGCAGAGAATGAAACAATAACACAATTTAAACCCAAAGGTATGCAAAGTGATGAAAGCAACCACCTAATATATGTTCTCACATGTCTTCACTCCTCCCTCGACAGATAAGTTTCAAATTAAAGAGTTAAAAGCTAGGGAATTATTTATCTACAGCACTAAGCAGGATCATACTAAAGCTCAGCTACCTTATTGTAACATGAAGGGCCGGCTTGTTGGGGTTTCTGTCCCATCCGGTACCCCACAACCGGCAACTCCCAAGGAAAATCACAAACAGGACTCCATAAGATTATAAACTGATTGGCCCATTAGGTCAGGCTTCTTATTAGTCCTTGTAACTTATATTAATCCATTATCATTATCTTTGTTAGCCACACGGCTCAGTACCTTTCTCAGCGTGGCAGCTCACATGTTGCCTCTCCGGTGGTCTGGACAGGAATGGAGAGGGAGCATCCTGCTTCCCAGAATACTCCCAGTCTCTTTGCTCCACCTCTACTTCCTGTCTGGCTTTCCTGCCTATACTGTCTGCCTGGCCAATCAGCATTTTATTAAAATACATGATTGACAGAATACAGACAATTCTCCTGCACTACCTTATGAGCTAGTGTCCACACAGAAAGGATTCAAGGCTATATTGATCAATGGGGATCACCTACACTGAAGTTTGACACAAATCCACTTAGTTATTGAGACATACAGTGCACTTGTATTTTATACCAATAGAATTAATTTGCTACAGCGTATTTTTTTTCCTAATTGCATGATGACATGGCACACCAATTAATGGATTGTGGCCATGAGAATCAAACTGTAAGTTATACTGATATTGTTACATCTGTGGCACCCACATAATTAAGACACAATACATAGTACTCTGGGCAATGTCAGAGGGTAAAGGTAGTGGTTTGAATGAGAATGGCCTCCACGGGTCCACGGTTAAACGTTTGTACCCCCGTTTGTGGAACTTCTTGGGAAATATTGGCCTTGTCTGAGGTGTCACTGGGTGAGCTTTGAGGTTTCGGAAGCCCATGCCGGCCCAATTTCCCTGCCTGCTGCCTGGCTAGCCGTACAAAAAGCTATCAGCTACTACTCCAGCACCATCCCTGCCTGCTTCCTGTCACAATCATGGACTACCCCTCTGCAACTGTTACCAAGCCCCCATGAAAGGCCTCCTTTTATAAATTGTCTTGGTCATGATGCCTACTCACAGCAATAGAACAGTAACTAAACAGGTAAGATTCAGACTATTCTTAGATAATTTTCTTTTTTAATAAGTATCTATACTACCTCTTGAACATGTAGTATATTTTTTCTGTTTACCGGTTATATTCTATAAAAAGAGAATTTGTTCTAATCTAGCCTTCAGTGACTCTATGATTTGATTTGGAAATGGATGGGGCTTTATAGCAGTAATCAAATTAAAATAAGATCATTAGGTTGAGTCCCAATTAAGTATTACTGGTGTCTTTAGACAAAAAAATTAGAGATACTATCACACTGAGAGCAGATGATGGAGACACAGAGGAAGTACAGGCAAATGGGAGGAGTTTGGCTACACATCATAGAACAACCAATGTGGACCGCCAGGAAGCACACCATGAAGACAATGAAAGCATTCATTACTTCTTGTGAACTCCGATCCCTGCCACCCCAACTCTAGCTCCTTCCTTACCTCTTTCAAGGTATGACCTCCTTTTGGACAAATTGGGCTAGTACACACTGCCAGAACTATACATAAAAAAAATCAAACAATAATAAAAAAACTTAAATGCAAATATTAAAAACAAACAAAATGTGAATAGCTCAAACCTTGAACACACACAGCTGACTGAACTTAAACTTGTAAAAGCTCTTCCCCAAGAATCCATACAAGCCGGACACGTAGGTGCATGGAAAACAAGGCTCTCTTCATCAGCCCATGACTGGGCCACACTTTGGACATGTAGTCACAAAGGTTTAGCAAGCGTAACTAACCCATCCCAAGGTTTACTGTGAGGATTTTCAAATGAGAAATGTAGTGTACATGCCTTCAGATAAATGTAAAAACAATTCTATTTTAAAAAACAGACTATTTGGACATAAGTTTGGGGTTGTAAGTCAAAAATAAATGGAACAAAGGCTTGTATTTGTCTAAATAAAATTTAAAAAACTGGCATATTTCAGCATTATCTACAATTTATGTCATCTATTTTGTGATAAATATGTGTCTCTTGGCTCAATCCCATTTTCTCTACCTATCCCTCACATTACTAGTAATTAACGGGATAGTCGAGATGGGAAAGGACAGAGATGAGGGCAAGGAAAGAGATATCTTGTGGCTAGCAAGAAATCTGGCACTAGAGAAATGCCCAGGAATCCACAAAGAGGACTCCAGCTAAGACCCTAAGCAGTAGTGGAAAGGGTGCCTGAACTGGCCTTGCCCCATAGTCGGACTGATGACTATTTTAAATGTTACCATAGAACCTTCATCCAGCAACTAATGGTGACAGGGCAGAGACCCACAATGGAGCACTGGGCTGAGCTCTCAAAGTCCAGTTGAAGAGTGGGAAGAGTGAGAATATGAGCAAAGAAGTCAAGACCATGGTGGGGACACCCACTGAGACAGTTTACCTGAGCTAATAGGAGCTCACCAACTCCAACCCAACCAGACAGAAGGAACCAGCATAGGACCAAACTATACCCGTTGAATGTGGGTGACAGTTGTATGACTGAGGCAGTGACACCAGGATTTGACCCTGTTGCTTCTACTGGCTTTTTAGAATCCATTATCTTTGGATGGATACCTTGCTCAGACTGGATATAGTGGGCAGGGCCTTGTACCTTCCTTGGAGCAATGTGCCTTACCCTCTCTGAGGAGTGGTTGGTAGGTGGGGTGGGAAGGAAGGTGAAAGGAATGGGAAGAGGGGAAGGAGTGGGAACTGGGATTGGTATGTAAAATGAAAAAAGACAGCTTGTTTTCTTTTTGAAAATATAAAATAAACAATTATTGGTAATTTAACTCTCATAAGGCAACATTTCTCTAACAAATTCTTATCTTTATGTTCCTCTTATTTCAAACACTGTTCATATGATTTTTTTTTATTTCAAATAAGGCAGAATAAGGTAGAATAATGAGCGATTTAATGAAAGATTACACTTCTATAAATGTATCCAATAATATAAGGTCTCGCAGAAAGCCCATCTCCATGGAGTGGGTCGCCATCCAGGTCGCTGGGTCTTGTTGAAAGTTCTTCTTTTGCTGCATTTCATTATGCCCGTCCTGAAGATCTGCTAATTGGCTTCGCAACCGTCAGTCTTAACTAGACTTCCTTCAATCCAGACTTCTTAGCTCTCGAAGATATCATTACACCATCTCACTTCTCAAGGCACAGCATTATCACATGACTTCTTATTCTCAGTGGATACGATGTTCGATGCCAAGCTAGTACTTCTCTTTGTTCCTTGTAAAATATAAATATGCAATGATAGAACAGTGTTAAAGAGCTGATGATGTCAACCCTACCCTCAGTTGTTGCCACACTCCTACTATTGTGTTATATAGTCACTCCAGCCTTAAGACATGCACACGTAGAAACACTAAAGCTCCATGATTCCAGTTGGACCTATGGTCCCCAGACATAACTGCAGTGGTCTAGTGTGCCACTTGAATGGGTGCACACTGTAAACCACTATTTATCTGTTTCCTGGCCAAGGTCAAGGCCTGTCTATTCTTCATCTCAGCATGAAACTGGATTCTACCAGTTCAGAACAAGAACACGTTGGAGCTCCCCTGACATATAGTCCAAACATTTAATATCCAATCAATGGGGTAAAACAGACCTTCAAAGTATCCATAATAATACCTTTCAGCCAACAGTTCCTGGCCTAGATCTTAGTCATTTTTCAACCTTGTTAAATGTATTCATAACTTCTAAATAAACATATCATCCCTGTTCTAATCTGTATAGAAAACACCAAGTGGTCCCTGTAAATATAAATCAGATCACATACTCAAAGCTTTCCACCAGCATGTTTCTCTCAGAGTCGCTCAAACCCAGTGCCCGGTACGCTTTGTCATCAAGGTCCATCTATTGTCTCTCTCTGTATTTCTTTCTTCACACAACTCTCATGCTATTTCCTGAATAAACCTGCTTCATGGATTCCTTGACAGAATCTAGTCAGACAGATCCCATGTAACTCACATGGTACAGTCCTCACGCTGTGGCTTTTTTTATCATCAGTGCAGATTACCTTCCCCTACTTAATGTACTTTTATAACAGACACCACCCACGGGAACGTTCCTCCCCATAGAACACTGTTCCTTCCCTGACAGATTTTCACTCATTACTTTGTTGCTATATTTATTTCACTATCTATGCTAGAGTGTCAACCGTGTGACGCTGAAGGAGAAAATTTTGAAATGCATGATTACTACATAGCAAGTTGTGCTCCTAGAATTAGAGATGAAACAGGAAAAAGCTGGGCCAGAGACCATGGTAATTAAGATGAAAAGCGTATTTTGAAATGTTATTTTGGCCAAGATTTGTTTACTTGAATTCATTATTTAAGTTATAAATTATAAACAAAAGTTGGAAAAGAGCTTGCAAACCATGACTACATTGTACTAATATTTAAGAGTTTAATAAGTTCTACTCCATTTCTCAGTATTTATTTTGGAGGAGGATTTCAAATATTATAAAAAGAACATGAGTTTAGGGAAAATATTTTTTATAACTTGAGTAGCACTTCAGTAACTCTCTTTTCACCTGTATTATTTTACAAATTTCTAATTGGAAAAGCATTTGCTATTATTTGTCATTCTCTATGTGACTCTCAAGCAAGCACATCTGTACTAATGGGCAAGTTTGGTACGAATTGCAGAAACGGCCTTCCTTCATGCAGAACAACCAGTCAATAGCTTGCTGCTAATTGCAACCCCACAATCCCAGCTTTTGTTAACAAGCTCGATTCTCCACAGCAGGATGTGGCTGGCCAAGTAAGTCACAGGACAGTTGCAGAGTGGGTGGATTTAACTTTGGGCTTTATAATAGCTTCATTTTCTTCATCACTGAGTGGCTTGGCAGCACTGATTTCTTTCTTCAAGATGATGCATAAATGCAGTGTAAAAGGGAAAACGTCACCCACATCTTATTGCTTTTCACTTTATAGAGAAAAATATTTTTAAATTGTGATAGCAAATTCCTCACAGATCACACACCAGAGAGGAACCATTTCGGGTTCTGACTTATCAGACCTTACAGATTTCAGATTTCTGGAACTCTAGGAGCAATTCAAGAAACTACCTGCGGTCAAGTCAGCCTCTCTGAGCCAGCCTTTATTGTGGAGGGTATCCCAGGAGCCTTTGCGTGTGTGTGTGTGTGTGTGTGTGTGTGTGTGTGTGTGTGTGTGTGTGTATACATTCACCTTTGAGAAAGGGTCTCACTGTGTGTTCCAGGCTAAGCTGGTACTTACTACACAACTCAGGGAAACCTTAAACTAATAATGAGTCTTCTGTTTCAGCCTTCCAAGGATAAAGAAAGATTATGGGTATACACCATCACATCTATTGTTTTTCAAAAAGAGAAGTCAAGGCACACTCAACAGTGGGCATTTGTTTCTTCTAACACAATGTGAGAAGAAGAAAATTAGATACTTCACAAAATAGGATACAATGAGACCTTTGGGAAAGGCATCATAGTACTCTTAGCCAGCTCACTAAATCATACAACTGCCAAATAATCAGCTTTACAACAGCATCCTTTTTCACTGTAGTCAGTTTACACAGGTAGCTGACGTTAGAACTTTGCATTCAAATTTCAGCATTGTTACTCACCCTTTCATTTTGAAGAGATTACTCAATATCTGAGTGCCAGTTCAGCGGGTTTTAATGTAAACTACACTAAGTTTTGACTTAGTAGTAGATAAAAATGAATGCCATGTACTAGGTACAATATTTCATAGAAATAGGTGTCTGAGAAAGCTACTGTACACATTAATGACACTAAAGGTTCCCAATATAACTTGTGTTAAAAATCAAAACAGCATGCAGCCGAGGTTCATGGTACTTTACGGATCATTGTCTTAGGATAAGAAGGAACAGGCAGCTACCTGGAAGCTTCTGCATGAGCATGGGCATGAGCATGGGGATGAGCATGGATGTTTACTTTACAAATCACCACGACCTTAACCCCAAGTCTTCGACCGTCTGTGTCAGCATTTCCAAGTACCTTTTACCAAAGGACTAGTTATTTTCCTTATTTGTAAGAACGTTATTTTTGCCATTAATTTATCCAAAAGCTTAATTGCAAATAAAAAACAAGAAAACATGTATTTTTATTGGTTGTACACTGAAAGTCTCGAGTTAGACATGACAGGACACCAAGAAGCTGCACAGCAACTCAACTGGTGAGTAAGCAGAAAATACGATACTTAAAAGACGAAGAAAGGGCTTGCTCTATGAACACTTAGAAAACATAGACTCTAGGGTGTTCCTATTAGAACTTACAAATCACAGCCAGGACACAAATGCTTTTCATAGAGTTTTTGGAAACTATACCTGTGCAAGCATTTCTTTCACGTCTCTGAGTAGGCTAACCAAAGATGGACTCGAAAACAATGCTATCCAGTATCGCTGGTGCTTACATGCCCTTCATATTCTGATTCTACATAGGTACACCATCTCACACATCCCCCCAGATGACTTAGGAGAGGTGTAATTTCTTCCTGCCAATGTCCCGGAAACAAGATGTGATATCTGAAACTAACCTTGAAGCAGTATTATAACTGCTAAAGGTATTTACATGTCACTCACACACAGCTAGCGTTATGTGTGTATGAAAGTAAAGAATGAAGTGTAGAATGATTTTCAGAACCTCGACCATCAGGGAGGCTGTTAGTACCAAAGCCAATAATGACAAAATTTCAACAACATGTGCTACAATGCAGAAGGGACTGAAGGGCTGCAGAGCTGACTCGGTGACTCAGAGCTGCAGAGCTGACTCAGTGGCTAAGAGCTCTTGGTGCTTTTGTAGAGAACCAAAGTTTTGTTCCCATCACCCAGTCAGGTGGCTCACTAATGTTCTTTAATTCCAGATCCAAAAAATGCTGCACATTCTTCCAGCCTCTACAGATACCTGCAACTCGTGTGCACAGACCCACAGAGACAGATGCAAGCACAGTCACACATACACACACACAAACACGCTTACGCACACACAATTCAAAAAATATGTTTTAAGAAGATGTAATTCAATGCTCAAGGTTCTTTATCTAAAATCCTGCTTCATTGAATCATCCTAAATTAGATTAAATTTTGCAACAATAGGACCACCAGTGCTCTGAAGGTGTGAAAGGGTCCCAGATGCCTCTTAATTACTGCAAAGGACTACCTTTGAGAGTTACACACACATTCTTTTTTGTTAAAAAAAAAATCTTTAAACTATTTATCCGCACCTAAATCATAGAACTTTCTGATTCTAAACAACAGAACCACAGAGTATCAAGGACAAACATCCCTTGAGGAGTCTAACGAATGAGAAAGCAACTGGCTTCATACTGAGAAGTGCAGATGTGGGGAGATGACCTCCATCTGGAGGTTCAGCAGGGCCTCTCCCCAACAGAGCCCCATCTACATGCTTGTCTGTTGCATTTCCCACTAACTTCCCATAGCAAACTTGAATACCAAGGTTAAGCAAAGACAAGCAGTATCACTGACCCCATTCAAGTCCTCTTTCGTCAGCCAAGACAAGTAATTTCTAGAAAAGGAAGAAAGGCAGCTTGACAGCAGCAGCCTCAGGTGGTGCTGGGCAAGGGCTAGAATGACAACTTACTTAGGAGATTCTATGCTGGTCCCCGCTGTTAGCTTTTATTATTCTATAATAGTTTCTCCTTAGATATACGAACCAGTGTCTTCAGAAGAGTGAGAAGGCCAACAAGACCCTGCCTAGAGATAAATTCTGTCAAGTAAGAGAAGGCCATTGCTGGGTTTCAATTTCCCATATGATATTACAACATTGTCTTTTCTTCAGCGATCCAGAAGGTGCACAGTTCCTAGTTCTTCTCCTAGATGCATCCACATCTCACTGTTTACCACTCTTGCAAAAGTATGATGGTTCAATCAATCAGCACCTTTCTGCCTCATCTTACATTTATTACAGAGCAGCTTTAAATTCTTTTCAATTACATACACCCAATCGTCTTGTTCAAAATCCTTGCTAGCTTAACTCAGAATAAAACCTAAACTACCAACCACAGCCCACAAAGTGCCCATATGACCTGGCTCTGAGCTTTTCAGACATCACTTCATGCTCCTTACTTCCTTACTCTGCTCCCACTCTCGGCTTTCTGGCCATTCCGCAAAGCTACAACGCTCTCAATTATCTCAATGCTATTGCTTTCAGGTTTCCTCCACCTTTCTGGAAGCTATCCTGGCACCAACGGCTTAAGTTTCTACCACATTTT